TCTCAACATTACCGAATACGTTTGAACCGAATAAGCATCTATTGCCGCGCTTTAGAAAAAAGAACTTCGTTCAAAGACATTTTACAACTTTTTGTGCAATACCACCCTAAACAAAAAGCACTATTATTGAGAACACTTGAATTCTTTGAAAACTTATAACAATGTTAGACAGTTTTTGAAATATTAAATTCTACTTAATAGTTTTCCTGTTGTAAAAAAATATGGTGTATAATGGTTATTACTTGTACACTTTCCCATTAACCCCTAACGGTCTGTGAGTATGCTTCCCACATAAAATGGAACTTTAACAATATATACAAAGAAAAAGGTTAATATCATTAAAACTAGTAATATTGACTACTGTTTTCATTAGTTTTAACAATATTAATTTTGTTCTTTAAATTAGTATTAATAAAATTCCATTTTTATTAATACTCATCTTTAAGATGTACTTTAAGCGACTTTAGCAGACATTTTAATGCAACTCTATAATTCTGAACACGGTTCAAGCTTTAAACGTGTTTTTCTCGAAACTAGCTACGTGTGTGTTAGGGCGGTATTTCTGCCAAATTAGTTTATATCGTCAGACAGTTAAATACTGGATAAAAATAATAGATCATTTACGACTACTAGTAACTGTACTACATATTTTTCCGTTTCGTTTCGTAAGTTTATAAATTGTATTGCTAAAACTGCCTTATTATCCACATGCAGCGTTTAATATTGTATTGCAGCATTGAACACCCGTATTTTGTTTACTTAGACACCTTTCGTTTCTGAGTAACACTGCAAACAAAGTTACACTACCATCAAACTCTAATCAACATTGCACTCGATCATGAATAATTTTCTCAAAATGAACTGTTAGAAAACTGTTGATGAGCATAATATTCACAGCAGTATCAATTAATGCAATAGGTTTCTTTACTTTCATGTAATATTTATATTGAGAAAAATGTATTTTCAAAAAACACTAACTTATTTTACATTTCCTCTTTTTTTCTCTCTCACAAACGTAAATTTCTCTAATTGAATCAGATCAGCCTCTGCGCTATTTTCAAAATGTGATAGTCAATACTCCCCAATTTTCGAAATTCATATTGTCATTTCTCCACAAACTGTTACGGCTAAAACAAATCTAACAAACGCATTACATTGTATACATTGCACAAACCAAAATCTAAAAAACTTAATTTTCAGCCTGAAATACAATTATTTCTTGAATTACAAATGCGAATTTAACTTACATCGTATGAAATAAAGCATCCGACTACGCATGAAATAAAGCATGCATCTCGTCTTTTTAATGTTGAATTGGGCTCTGTCGTATACCTGGCCTAAGGTAATAACGCGACGTCTAAAAATGATGAAAAAAATTAACAATTTGATTTATTTCAATTAATGTAGATGCAACTGAAGCATTTTTTTCATTAAATTTAATGCAAGCATGAATGTACTAAGGTAAATGAATCCCTTTCCAATTTCCAAAGTATTTGATGATGTTCAACAGCACGTACTATCTTTGGTTTATTTAAGATGTTTCTCAACGAAACTTACCGGGGACACGAAGGTGTCACTAACGCTTTTACTTTGTCGCTACGGAGCAGAGACTGATAGGTAATGTTGTGCGGAAAAACGGCGGATTTTCGGTAGGAAAACTGTGCATTATGTGTCATTGATACCAAAAAATGGATAATCCTGCGATCGGTATGTAGTAAATAGCTTCCTCTACTGTGGTGTATGGTCCTGGTAACGTGGATAAATCCAGTTGCTAAATTCAGAAGAAAAAATAACTCCTCACGTGGTGTAGTCAGATTCTATGTTTTGTGGGTCCTTGATCCGAATGATGGCAAAACGTCTGTCTGCCTGTCTGTGAACAAAGCTAGCAGCTAAGCTGTTCATCCGTTTTTTATTCAAAATTCAACTCCAATCGATGTCACGGCGCCTTGGATTTTAAATTCATATTTTCATTTTGGGGGTACTTTAAATCAAGCCCCTGGGACATCAAAAAAATGATCCCATCGTTTTTGGTTAATTTTTTTTTGTTGGATAGTGTGCAGGTCGTTTAAGTGAATGGTGCAGATCTTATGATCGTTGAAAACACTAATTTTTAGAAAATTGCAAAAGCTCAATTTTTTCGTTGTCTTCCTACAATTAAAATATTAAAGATAGAAAATATTCCCTTGATGAAATCGGAATCTTAAAGATATATTTTGAAATAAGATCAGGTACAAATTTTCGAAAATTTGAGTACTTTTCGCGAAATTGTGCGCCAAAATAAGGGCGAGAAAGTACGTGGTTTTAGCACCATTAGTTTGTGTGTGTGTCAAACTTAATAAAGTTTATTTTCAGGAATCCAAGAAATTGATTGGTTTGTAATACGATGTGTGTAATACTTCATGATATTGAAACAAAACAATGTTCAGAGGATGTGTGTTTATTTCACTTCATAATAATCTCTTTACGTCAAAATATTCAACATTTAACCCTTGCCGTTAAACGAAAAAAAATCACTTTTTAACAAAAAAGGTATTGTAACTTTTAGAAAATAATTAAAACGTATGATTATTTAACACGCTCAAAACCAACCATAATAATGTTACGTTTTTCAAAAGACATTGAAATGCATACGAATACAACAATAAACCATTTGTTCACAGCACATCCGAGGTAAAATTTTCCATCTGCGCCTCGGAAATGTTAGTTTTGCACCTGTCGCCTTCCGCCAGATCTGCGCTCATCCTTCATATCACGTCGCTCGCGCACGGTATCCGCAATGTACCGCAGTAGTGAATGCTACACCTCCACGTTGGCCGTCGTGCGAACAAGTTTTCTAATGGCCCAGTTACGAAAGTGTAAGTGACTCCACATTACAACCGCGACCTGTTGAAATACAAAACCCGCGTGGAAAAATATCGACAGCAAAAGTCTATTCCCAGCTATCTTTGACACAAAGTCAAACAGCATATCAAAGCTCACAAACTTATGTTGTTGTTTTTTTTTTATTTTCACGTACAGTAGACCACTCATTGCGTTCTTGATTAATATCTTTACAATATTTTGTGAACGGAACTAAAGAGTAACGTGGGTGGATAAAAATTGGAAGGGCAGACATTTATTTCGAGATGTTTAAAGTACTGGATATTGGGTAGTAATAAAAAATGAGGTATAAAAGTGTTGTCACTATTTAATTTGAAGAAGCAACATCATTTTGTACAACAGTTTCTGTTTAAGGCAACATTACTCTTTTTTTAGCCATCACCTGAGATTGAAATCAAAACGATTAAAATACCATTATAATCGTAAAAACTGACAACTCGATCATATTTTAGAATCTATTGCTTCAAATGGAAGCAAAGTCGTTAATGTTTCAGAAACAATGATTAAGAATTACGCAAAATTTTAATTATTTATATTTTGAAATAACATCAATACCCGAACAAGAACAACCTTAAAATAGTGTGTAATCTACAAAACGTAAAGGACTTCAGTTCTATTAAAATATAGTTCATAAGAAATAATTAAATAACTGAATTTATGATTCAATATTGCTAAAGACCCTCTCCTCGTGGCAGTGTGTACATGCTATCGCGTTAACAACTCTTCAAAATAATAACTCTCTTAATGAAGACACTGTTGAAATATCTAAGGGGTCAATAACATATCAACAGCTTAAATTTTGAAGATTTAATTGAGGAGGGGCATATTATTTATTTCCATAATTAAGAAATTGTATCTTCAAGAAATTAGAAACGGAACGCTACACTATTTATTTCAATCTTCACTAAATATATAAAACTAAACCTCTAGAAACTAAGACACAAAATAGGTAATGGTATGTCTCGCGATAACTGAATCTCAAATTAACGAATACCAGCATAAAACAACATACATGCACTTTTGAGATTATTCTTCATAGAACTCACCCTTCTATTCCTCCGAGAATTACGTCCATATCGCAGACTGAACAAGCAGTGCACTTCTGATGATCCGTATTGCCCGCCGTGTCTGCACCTCGCCACTGGAAGGAACACAAATGTACCCAACTGATAACTGACACTTAACTGAAGTGCCCCGACTGCACGGTGATCCGTAGTGATAGTAATATTGTTGTAAACAGCTGGTACAAAGATGACGTTTCTGAGTCAGAACAGCCAACATCTTATGATTGACCAGAAAATCTGTAAATACTTATTGGCGTAAAACTTCTATATATAATCATATTTTAAATAAAAATGTCATATAAACGTTCTCATTAATATTTTGTAAAAAACGTTCTGGAACAATTCATTGAATTTTGCAGAATAAGCTGTTTTCTCATTACAGTGAAGTGTGGCAGCCATGACTTTGAAACATAATGCCATCTAGTGGCAAATTCGATAATCGTGAAGCGTGGTGAAGTGTGAGCGGCGTAATCTGGCCGCCGCGGGCTGCCGGCAAGCGCCTTGTCTTTCTGTGGCGGAGTATTATATGAAATTGATGCCTAAATATTATCTGAGTATTGGAGCGAATGAGATAATTTACATTGGTAACAGAGTTTAAAGACTTAATGTATATTTTTTCTTGAATCAATACATTGGCGTGTTGCATTTGATCGTTCAAAATAGAAGCCGTCTCCGAGTAAAGCAGAGAGCCAACTGTGACTGACAAAACTCGCTGCTGAAATCATTGTGGACTGTCAGAATGTATTACACCGTGTGGTTTGAAAAGCCAGCCGCAAACAGATAAATCCTTGTGATAAAACAAGTGAAGATTTAAGTAATTGCAGAAAAGAAAATGAAATTGAGATATTAGCATGTCTGAAAGTTAAACAAATTGTTCCCTTAAATTAATTATAAACATTTCAAATATGAAAGTACATATCATATAACAATTAAATAAATAATCATGTATTTGTTCATTAAAATTTCATTTACATGGTTTCAAATTTTTGAAAGAAAAAATTGACAATTGTAATATCTAACTTTATTTGTTTCAAATCTGTTTTTCCTTTTCACAGAACAATAGTAGTTTAACTAAAGACGGGAAAAATGGGAAGTAGATGGGAAAAAAATATGTGATTCATGACCTGAATATTCTGGATGTTAAGAACCGGAAGAAATGGGCAACAAGTAGAAAGGGAGAAAAATACATGAAAAATACGTGAAGGGTTGCAGCACAAAATAAAAAATTCACTTTTTATTCAGTTTTTTCTATTTATCATTGTAAAATGTACAGGATATGAATTGGAAATTTTTCTAGAGGGATTTGTTACTTTTATCAACCAGTGAACAATCGGAGGGCACATGACAATACAAATGCTAGAAAATTCTGCAACAAATCAAACAAACATGGATTCTGGAACTCAATAAAACGTGCACAGATTATCTCCCCCATACGTCACATTCAGTTTTTGTCTAAATAAATCTAAATGTAAATCTAAATAATTTCTAAAAGATTAATGTGTAAATGTATAATAAACGTCGAATGTAAAAAACGAACAAAGATATATGAAATAACATACAAAGAATTCAAATATCTGAAATTACAACAACAAAGCGCAGTAAATTCCGACCACACATTATTTTTGTCTCCAAATTAGCTCAAAAATACTCATTTTCAAAAAGTTAAACAAGACCGTATTTCAAAATCAATTTTTGATAAGAAAATCCTCTCCTGACATTGCATTGCTAAATCACCACCTAAATACACACAAGTTTCTAGGTGATGATGCTTGCACTCCACAGTTGTATGATATCTTAAACTGGACAATAATATAATTTTATGAATGATGACCTAAATAAAACAGCTCTTTCAGAAATTATTTGCCTTCAGTATGAAGGAACGATGAAAGTCAATTGTAAATCATGGGTTAAAGTTCACAAAGTAAAACACCAATTCAACAATGATAGTAATACCAATACTTCAAAGCACATTTTCGAATAACAATTTTAAGCTGAATGGTTGAATATCTATCTTGTTTCCTATGGTTCCATAAGTTATGATAAAGACATGATGTTTGTAACATGACATCTTGTGTCTACAATTTTGTCATTCATAATTATGTTAGGCAGTAGAGAATATGAATTAGGCTTGAATCATGTACAGTCGCTCAGATAGTATTCAGCCAATCTCAATGTGCTCAGAGCTGTAGGTTAAAATGCAATTAATTGTTTATGATGGAAAAATTCAGTTATTACAAAATTATATTTTTTCAATGTACAAAATTCTATTATAAAAGAATACATTTTAAATTTAAATCTTTGGTACATAACATCAGTTTACAGAAATGTGGTTAAGCAAGGTAAACAGCCAAATAAAAATCAATTAGTATGAACATGATATCTATATATCTATGACATGTCATAATATATATTCACAGTTTCTTACCTTCTAGCTGCGGTAACAATTCGAAAGGATTTTGCCTTACTACCTAATTTTAATCTCATTAGATTTTCCCTTTTTTCCGCACATCTTAGCCTACTCAATTATACATACATCTCAGATGAGGCATTGGCTTCCATTATTGACTTGCTGTGTACTGAGGCTGAACCCAGTTAAATAAGTGGGTATAATAGAAAACAGTGCCTGAGCAGTGATGATTGTTACAAGCAACAACAAACACCATGTCTGCATCTGTTTCTTCGCTATTCCGATGTTTTCTCGCTGTCATATTGGCACCTTGAACAATCGAGTATATTATTTCAACAACTGAAGCCAGTTGCGCGGTATCTAACTGTTCGTCCGTCACGGTCGAAATTGGTCCAAATGCTGGATACTCTTGATGACATATTAACTAGATGCAAACAAAAATGTGTAAATTACGAGGGAAGATTGAAGTCACTGTTATTGCAATGATTATTTTTACTCTCGCGCTTATTCTGTACGTATTGTTCACCAGTGATGTGCTTGTTGATTCTTCGATGAGTAAAGAAAGAAATAGTCAGGCCTCCGCATTAGTCCATAAACAAACTTCTGTTAATCGTTTCTCTTCTCTTACCCTCAGTCCTGATGTGTTAGCGAGTCATAACAGGGCAGAGGAACGTATTATGGATGATGTTAGAAGAGACAGTGATCAAGATGAAAATAACCTTGCCAGAAGAGTATTAGCCCCCCAAAATCAAGAAAACAGACCTATTTATTACAATGAACGAAATAATTTCATGGAGCAACACAACTCCGTAATGTTTCGTGGTCATCGCGTTGTGCACCTTGATCTGAAGGGAGCACCTCCCCGTGTGGCATATTATGATGAATTATTTCCATTGCTTCGTAGCTTAGGAGCAACTGGAATTTTAATCGAGTATGAAGATATGTTCCCATATAGCGATGGTTTGAAAGATCTTGCCGCTCATAATGCATACACAAAAGCAGATATTAAACACATATTGAAGGTTGCTAATGAGAATGAACTAGAAATTATTCCCCTCATACAGACATTTGGGCATCTTGAATTTGTGCTTAAGTTAGAAAAATTTTCTAATTTGAGAGAAGTGCCCAAATATCCACAAGTGAGTTGATGCTAAGTTTTGTCAAGTTTGTGGACCAAAATACGAAAACTAAATACTTTTTTTTAAATACATATCACACTTTGTTATTGCTTTCCAGGTTGTGTGCCCCTCAAATAATGATACTTTTCCTGTATTAGCCATGATGATTAACCAAATTATGAAACTCCATCCTCATATAAAACATTTACATATAGGTTGTGATGAAGTGTATTATTTGGGAAATTGTATTCGTTGTGGTATGGCAATGGTCGATCACAAATGGGCAAAAACTCACCTGTTTCTTAATCATGTGATTCGAGTTGCTAAGTTAGTGAAGTTTCATTCAGTGAATATAATTCATATTTTAAAGAATCCTTAAAAACTATAATTTTACTGTTTAGGTATGTACGTAAGCACTTCCCAAATGTTATGCCTCTTACTTGGGATGATGAATTTCGTAAAGTATCTGAGGAAGTACTCCAAGAATCCAGAGTATCACAATGGCTGGAACCTGTTGTTTGGAAGTATTCACCTGATCTTGTAACATCAATTGGTTCAGATATTTGGGAAAAATATATTTCTGTCTTTCCTGCAGTATGGGTAGCCAGTGCATTCAAAGGTGCTACTGGACCAGATAAATATGTCACTGACATAAGTAAGTAAAATTAAATGCATCATTTCATAACAGAAAACACTTTATTTGTATAATTGTGTTATTTATAACATTTCAGGTTATCATCTTGAAAATCATCGTGCTTGGATGGATGTTATAAATTCCTATTCTCAAAGAATTAAATTTCGAGGAATTATGTTAACTGGATGGCAACGTTATGACCATTTTGCAATTCTATGTGAGTTGCTGCCTGTTGGGTTGCCATCATTGGCTACAAATTTGGCTTTCATACAAGAGAAAGATAAAAGTAATTTTCAAATTATAAATAAGTAAATTAGAAAGTAATTTTCAAATTATAAACAAGTAAATTAGAAATTAATTATTAAGTAACATGTCTTATTTTCTTGTATTATTTATATTTCATGTAATTTGTTCTTGCTACAAAGTAATTGGGATATTTTGTTATAATTATTTACAGAAACTAGTCAAATACTCCGACAAGTGATGGACGTGTTGAAATGTGATCCACCATTACCATTGAGCCCTGGAATGGGACTCTCTCACTGTGGTTTCCCTGGTGCGGGTATCCTTGAAGCTGCAGAACGATTATATATTTTGCAACAGAATATTGATAAATATCTCTCTGATTCAGCTGTCAAAGGATGGTTTACTGATTACAACATTGAACATGGTTTTGCTAGTCCTTCATTGGTAAATTATTATTATTAAAAGACTGATTTTATGCTAAGCAACAATGGGTAAACTTTGGCATGTGTACCCAAAGAAAGGTATCTGCTAATCTACACTTTAAAAAGATCCCACACTTTAAAGTAACTTTACAAGTAGTCATGAAATTGAAGATGCATAAACATAAATTAACAAGGCAGAGTTGGCAAGGCAAGATGTGGAGGGGCAGGTCAGGTTGAGGGTGGAACGTGGTGGACAGTGTAGGTTGGGTTCATAAAAAACTAGGGAAAAAATGAGGAAAAGTATGTTTTTTATAGCTACATATCTAAAAATGATTGAAAAAAGCCATTTTCCTTTTTTTACAATGAACAATATTTTAATACTAGTTTTGATGTAGGAATAGATTTTAATTTTCTAGAATATAACATGTTTGAGGAAATTATAAAAGAACTTAAAATTGTTTATAATAAAATATTTTGCTTTTAGAATAATACATTTAAAAATATAAACTCAAAAGAATGTGAATATTTTGAAGAATGAATCTAATGAAAGATAAGCACAGATGCATAAGCACTGTTAACTGTGGAAAGAGAATAATGATTAGAATCAGAATTTTTGGCACCCATTTAAATTGTAACATTTTGTTTATTCAATTTTACCATTTAAAATTTTAACGCAATTTTATCTCTTTATATATTGTGGAGGGGGGAAGTCAAGTAAACTTTAATAGGACAACAGTTATAAAGTTTCCTGATAGTTCTACAATTAAGTATTTTTCTAGAAATATTTCTTAATAATTAATTTACTTAATTTCTCATTTTTAGGTGGAACGTGCAACTGCTGAACTTAATCATTGTAAAATGGAGCTAGGAAATATTAAACAAGATATGATAACTGCAATGTCTGAAGTATATGATTCTTACACAACCAAAGAGTGGATTAGCACATACATTCAACCTCTGGACATTAAATTACAGAATTTGTGGGATGCTAAAGAGAAATTACTTGCCCCAAATTATTGGCCAAAACGACCTTTAGACTTCGCAGCATCTAATGTTAGGAGTTCTTCAAAGCCTCAATCACCGGGAAGTACATAAGAAGTATTTGTTGTCTTTGAAATAAATCATAAGACTTGGGATTTCTGAGTTCATGTGAATTGTACACATATTTCACATGTTGTTGATGTGCAGGTAGTGCATTGACGGTGTAAGTAGTATTAAAACAAAACAATAGTTCGTACAGTGTACATTTAAGCAGAATTGTACATTCTGTGCGAGATACTTCATAACAGGTGGCCACTGCGAAGATTTACTCCAATTTGTTTGTGTGGTAGTGTTCAAAGATTAGGAAATATGGACACCAAAATTTACATGTTAAGGAGTCAATATTTTGGGCTGAAATTTAGTACACGGTACAACCTACGGAAGTCATTTAAATCGGCACTTTGCGCCGTTCTGGCGTTAATAAGGCAGTTAGAATTCTGAAGGCTTTCTTGAAAACTGATGTCTTATAAAAGTGAATTGGTAATTATGCATTGGATAGACTCGAGGATGTTTATAGTGAATGCGAGGGTCGAAGGCCCGAGCCTCGCCGTAACTTGGATCCAGGCGAGCGAAGCAAGAAAACTTGCCTTTGAAAGTAAATTGGCGTTACAATGAAGTGGGGACAAAGCACATGAAGGGCGAACCATGAAAATTGCCTATCTGTAAGTTTTATTCATTTCTATTAAGAGCACGTACAGTATTTCGGGGTTAAGCCCTGCTGCCACGCTTCTCTAAGGGTGTACCGTATACTAAATTTTAACCATATTTTGTAATATTATGCAAGTTAAATTCAGTGTTTATGTCAATGCAGCTTTAAAAAATACAGCTATGTGAAAATGCATTGCATTTAAGTCCATGACTAACAGTTTTGTATTAGTGTTGTTTTACATTCTCAACTATTTTAATGTTATAAAATATGACAGCTTATAATTGAATTAAATACTTCAATTGTTCTCTAATGGTATTTGCAATATTTGAACAATCATGAATCTGAGCTCTTCAGGAGTTTTTGTCCTTGAATAGAAGCAGATCTCCTTTCATTAGCATGAGGCATTTACTGTGAAATTAATTTATGTAAAAAACATAATTTAATTTAATTTAAGTAAAAAACATAAGTGACCACCTTGGGATACTAAACTACGCATCCATGATATTAATTTAGCTGATTTTTTCAGTGAAGAATGTTCTCTCTAGTATTTCTCCTGTTGTTTTAGTAATTATATAATACTTTTCCCAGGTGCTGTTGCTTATTATCGTCATTGTGATCTACAATGAAAGACATGACTATGTTAGACTCCCTTTTTTAAGAGACTGTTACTGTAAGTAGATTTATGTATTTTAGCTTGATGAAATGTGTGACAATATTAGAGTTATTTGTTTATTGAGATTATTTTATGTAGACATTGATGATATGAGATATTCTCATTGAAAAGCTGTGTTTCTCTCATGTGATATGTTTATTTAATAAAGAAAAGAGAACTAGATTGTTATAGGATTTCTAGTATATAAAAAAAAGGAAGCTAATTGCAATTTATGCCTTGATTGATGTCACACGATGTTGTTTTTGAAAATTGTGGTTTTTAATGTTTTGTTGAAGACCAATTTCTTGAACTCAGTTTCTTTTAGCTTCAAACTGGAACTTTCATATTACCAATTTAATTTGATAAACAACTGATATTCACTTGTAAATCAATGTGTTTAGGTATTTATTATTCATATTTATAATCCAGAAGCAATATTGACAATTCATTATCTTAATCTGACAATTCATTACAATGATGTAGTTGTATTTGTGACATGAAGTAATATTTTAAAAGGTTTATCAAATAACATGACTTGTTTGTTGCAGAAAAACTGATATCTCTGGATTAAAGTTATAACTGGTGCAAAAGTTTTTTATGAATCTCAATAAATTGTTGTAAATTTTAATTCTTGAATACTTTAATACTTATGATTTGAACATATAACTTTTGTAATTAATTTTTGGATACATATTTTGGCTTTTTGATGTTAAATGAAATGTGAATGTTTCCTGTCTCTTCTATTACTGTTAAGTGTTTTCTCATTGAATTTACTGGGTACGTACTTGGTAAAAAAAAAAAAAAATTTAAATATATTTTTGGTCACTATTATTTCATGTAATTAATTTTTTAAACTACATCTTAAACTTATGCACAAAACTTTGAAATAGAAGTTGAACATTGATCCAATTCAAATAAAAGAGAGAATTACTTCTGTGTTATTTAGTTCTGTAATATTCATTCACAAAATTTCACTAAATCATTTTATTCTGATTTAGTCAACTTCATTTCATGCATTTGCATTTTTAATTTGCATTTCCAGATCATTGTAAAGGCATTTGGAACTGATTTTATTAATGTATGATACGTTTCTATTGTATTTTAAAATTTTGTTCAAATTTTAAATTTTGCCCTCGTGAAAATTTGTGAGTGAAATGTGTATATCCCAGGTTAGAGTTTGTTTTTAAATAATATAACTGTCTGAAGTACAATGAAAACAGAGGAGAGGTGATGTGTTTCAAAAGAATTTCCCTGTAGTCTGAGACTGGGCTATTTATTATTTAGAATTCGTACTCCCTCGTACCTCAGTAAAACATTCAATAAGCAAAGCTTTATTTCCTGTAATACATTTTTAACTTTATATTATAAATAGGCAAAAATTGTATATGAAGAATAAATGCATCATTCTAGAAAGATCATCCCTCTAACTTACTGAATAATACACAATTTCTAAAATATTTGTAATTCTCAAAAACTAATTGATTTATATTTATTGAAAGTTTTGCTTTGAAATTTTTGTTTTAACTCGCATTTTTAATGTTCATGTTGACTCATCTCAGGCAAAGACAATGATACTTTAAAACTATAAAACAAAAAACATGTGCAATAAGAGCTTTTTATGAAATGTTTATATGTAATGAAGATAAGAAGACAGGCTTTTCAGGTGTAAGGAACTGTGAAGGGTACCTTTCATTTGTATTCATGTTCCACCTTTTGTATTGGTGTGTTGTTTTTAGATTCATTATCACATGCTGCAAGATTGGTGGAGGCTAATACTCCAATCCCTGTGATCTGGTATAATAGGGAATTTTATTAATTTTTATTGTTTTGTTCTGTCTTCAACCATTGTGAGATTCTTAAAATTGTTTTAATAAAAATCTTTATATGTATTTTTATTGGTTAAATATTGAATACGGGAATTGTGTTTTAATGTCCTCATTCCAAAAGTTATTTTTCCAATCCATTTCTCAACAGGTCCTAGATGAACAAATCCCTAAATCCTTCTAAAACATCTGAATTAAGCACAGAAGGTTTTATTTGATGGGGGGGACAGCAACCTTTGTCAATAAGAAGTGGCACAGACTTTCTCGTACTAGTTTTCTGCTTTGGGTCTGGGCTAGCTTTTCGGTATTGCCCCTTCCCCTTGGTAGCTGCCATATATCACCGCCGAAACTACACCTCCCCCCACCATTTTTCGGGTTGGTAATGGTAGAACTCAAATATTATTATATTATTTTCAGAATATTATAAAAAAATAAAACCACACATTATGCGAATTTATATGTAGCGCAGATCAGCCCGTTTTTTGGCTAGTTACGGAAGCGCGCACAAAAAGCTAGCGACCAAAGACATTGGAAGCGACCGTGATGGACAGCAAGTGAAAATGCGAATCGCTGCTACTGATGTATACGGATTTGTTAGTCCGTACTACAACTCATTAAATAACACGTACAATTACATCGAAACAACAATATAATCTTGCATTTGATACGTGTAAGAACATATCTGATATAGTACAGTAACTGAATTCTTAAACTTTTCCAGTTTACACATTAATAACAATGTGCGTCGAAATGAGCGCACTGTTCTGCAATTAAATGCAGCAAAAATTAAGTATAGAATTAGGAGTCATGTTTTTTACTTGTCAAATAGACCCATAAAGGAAAGCCGGAAATGTATTATTACCTCCTAGATACCCTTATTACCTACTTACATTATTTTCATCAACAGTACAGAAATACTTGTTCTTCCACATTATTCCACTACTCACGTTCAATAGACAACATTCAGTAGATTTAAATCATTTCTTTCATTAGAATTTGTTCAAAACTTGTACTTCACATGCATTTTACGTATAAGCATAAGGAAATTAAAATAAATCATTTACTTTTGGGTTAGATTTAGTAGAATGATGCTGTATTATGAATTGTTAGGCGGCGTAGTATTCCTGATCGACGCGCGGATCGCTAAAGTCGCTGACCAACGCGTCATGAAAGCATTTAACAGAACAGAAACCAAGTGTGCTTGAAAGACGCCTGTCTCTTGATGAGACTCTTGGTCCATATTTATTTGTTCCGGCCGTCTTGTGATGTGTTGCGACCCCTCCGTCCCTTGCAGGGACGGGGATTGGGAGTCTGGGTGGTGAAATGACAGCTTGTTTTGTTAGGGGGCTTGAGGATGGTAATGACATGGGATAAAGGAGGGGAAAGGAATATTTTTGTCGAGTTCGTCTTGGGTTCATAATGGGTCAGTAGTGAGTCAGTCGTTTATATGTCTTTGTCGTTTGTCCTTGTTTTTCGTATTATGGCAAGGTCATCAGCGTAAGGGAATCTCTACTCCAGGGGTGGAAGGGATATCATTTATGTAAAGGGATAAAAGGAGTGGGGAAAGCACGGCGCCCTGTAGGACGCCGGCTTGGATGGGGTTGTTGGGGGATTTTTTGGAGTAGAGAGTGGATGTGGGGGCTAGGAGGATAAAGCGTCATAAGCCTGTGTAAGATATTCCCAGAGCGACCCTCGCGGAAGCCAAATTGGGATTGGTCAAGGATTGTGTCGATGATAGGCGGAGAAAGATTACTTTTTCAAAGGTTTTGCGATACACTCCCAATGCCAAGAGCCGTTTGTATGATGTTGCAAACACATGAATAACTTCGCTCAGTGCTGCCATATCATAACTAACATTTCAGAGATTGTGCATTACAACATTACTGTTAATTACAACAACTCTCTGAAAAGGAGGCCCATGAACAGGTCTTCACGCGAGGGAACGAATGGTCCCCAATTTACAAGGGCACACTATAGTTCTTAAACAATATTTAATACTAAATTTTTCAAAAAATTAAATTAAAAACTTATAAAAATTTATGTTTGATTAAACTGTAAAAAAAAGTTGGCGTAATTGAGTGAAGTGTCGCGCACCGTTAGATAATATTTATAATATGGAATGTTGCTGGTATATGCGAAAATGTTACTCAGTGACGAGAAGTTGATTTTTAACAAAACTTGTCTTTAAATTGGGGGCGGGTGAGCGGTGAAAGTAAGAAGCCCCCAAAGCTATTTATTTATTTATTTTCGTTAAAAACAGTCAAAAACTGTGTGTGACTTCCTATGGGGAGAAGTTAATTTGAAGTTACATTTATGTCCAGAAGCAAAACAAGGCGCCATCTCAGCATTTGCTCGAGGATCACGGAAACTGGACAAAAACCTGATCGAGATGGGGGCATTGACCCAGACGCTGAACTACAACACTTGTTACAGGTTCTTTACAATTATACAATCCAAATGGTATATAATAAAATACATTAAATGTCATTGTTCAAATTAATATTACTTTCCTTTTGGATGCTCGGTATTCGTATAGTCTCTAATCGTATACAAATTGTTGTGCAGCAGAAAAGATTTTACTTAGGACTTGAACTTTTGTATCGAATTTAATCGTTTAATGCCATCTAGCAAGGTGTTGAGAAACAATGTACATGTATTATATGTAATTTTTTTGTAGTGAGCTGTTGATACTGTCACCTGATGAATATGATTACTAGTTGTAGTTATAGACAATGGCGTTTGCTGAAAATATATCCCCGCCCTTTAGTAAGTCATTTTTGACAAAAACCACTGATTCATAGACTAAGAGACAAGGTAATGGTAAAATACCTAGATGAATAAAGAGAGGCTTATAAGAATCACGTGGGTGGAATTTGCTTATTATTCGTACAATTCGGTTTTGTAATCTAAAAGTCTGGGAACTATAAGATGTATTTCCCCAGAATATTATGCCGTATCACAGGCGGGAATGAACATTTGCGAAATATACACAACGAGCAGTGGGTAGGCTGACTGACTGAAAGAATTCTGAAAGCGTAGCATAAAGAACTTAATTTAGTGTTCAATTCACTTAAATGGACGTTCCATTTAAGGTTTGACAGAATTGAAAGCCCTACAAAGTTTGGTACCTTAACATCAATGGCACACCGTTCATTTTCAGTGAAGTACAGAGCTGTTAATTTGAAATGGAAAACTGCATTGAAACATTTTTATTTTCATTTACTATTAATTTGTTATTACGGAACCAATTTGAAATAACCGATATTGTACTATTTACGGTTTCTTTATTGCAAAGAATATTCTTACCATCCGCAAAGATAACTGTTCTTCCGTTTCTAATCGTCGAGGGCATATCGTTTAGGTAGTTAGAAGAAAACAGGGCCTAAAATCGATCCCTGCGGGACTCCACATACAATTGGCAAAGAATCAGAAAGGTGTGTACATAATGTTCCATTATTCCAGTAAGGTATTTCTACTGAGATCGTTGTTGCTCACAAGTCCACAGTAAAAAGCCTAGGAATTAAAAAAATATATGAATCGTGTTCTTAATAATATGAATAATATTGTAAAGTAGAGTAATTTTAATCATTTTGTATCAGATGTCATTAAATTCACTCAATACAAAATGTAATGTCTGTAGCAGTGTAGGAAGGAAACACGACTGTGTTCTCCATATTCCATTATTGAAATTAAGGTACATGTTGAAAGGAAAAACTAGAGGGTGATACAACAACACGTACTTTCTCGCGATATTGCTAATAGCTATGTAATATTATATTTATATTCATAATTAATATGTATAATTTATTAATTATATTATGTAAAAATATGACAATTTCTCTTATACACTTCAGTTACCATTTGAAAAATTCTTAAACAAACGATGCGTGAAAATACATAAGCATTTTTGTATGAAATGTTTTAACGAAAACAGCTTCCTGCCATTGAATTTAGTGTATCCATTTTCTACATAAATGTTCCAAAAATGTGTGATTCGCGAGGCGTTATAACAATGTCATGCAACACGCTACATTGAGATGAGATACATTTTGCAAATTAACAATGTTGATACCGCTAGCAAGAAAATGAAAGAAAAAATGGATAGAAAGTTATAATAATTAAATATAATATATGCAGCAAAACTACTCGTTTTTTAGTGCATTACACGTCATTTCCACATATTATTATGCAGAGCGAAATCTTGTATTATATCCGCACGTTTTCTTGAGCCCTGGAATATCTACCCCCACTCCTTTCCCAACATTAGGTGCATTAAGAATAAATGATAGCAATGAGCGTTGCGTTGTTGACACGGAATGTTCGCTCCCGTGTTTTAAAAACTATTTTGCAGGGAAAAATGAACTACAAATTCCACCTAAAATTCCTTTTGTCAAAATAACCAAACTCCCCACTCCTCTCGCATCTAACGATGTGAGGGCTCAAGAAAACGTGCGCGGATAATATTCATTGTTACATTTAACTCAAAGACCGCAATTTAAAATATTTTCAAAATAAATTATAAAAGATTAATGTGTAAACGTATAACAAAATCTCGAATGTAAGAAACGAAATAATATTCAAATTCTATCTTACGCAGCATAGTGTTGGAATTATCTCTATTACGTAATCGATTCGCAGTCAATTGGAAGCGAGCCTTAATGTTTGTCACGAATTTACACAAAAAACTCTCATATTTTAAAACAATTCGACATGGCCTTATCTGAAGATCTGTGTTTTATGAACACATTTCATTTAAAAACATGTATCTACACAATTATAGTTCTAGGAAGACGGCGAAAAGTTTTTAATTTAAAAAAATATTCGCACAATCAGGCATTTCAATGAACTTGAGACTCGCACCAATCTCTTAAGCATCCTTTATGTTGATCCTATTTTTGACACACAATTTCGCAAAAAATACTCATGGTTCTGAAAAATTGAATATGATCTTATTTGAAGATCTGTTTTGAATGAACACATTTTATTAAGAAACTAGTGGTGCTACAGAATAGCAGAGACTTTCCCGTCTTAGTTTTCTATTTCCCTTGATCTTGGCTATCTATTCGGACTTGCTACATACTCTTGCCAACTTCCATCTATCGCCGCCCAAATTACATATTTTTGAAATTTTCTTAATTTTCAGTGTCCTAAAAACATAACCTAAATATTTTTTTGAATATTAAAGAACAATAAAACCTCATCTTAAATTGCAATTTTCTTTGAAAAATTTGGAGCCGTTTTTAAGAAAATAACGTTTAAGCGCTTTGCAAATTCGGAATGTAAAGCTCTTTTTCACAGAAAATTTTTGAATTTACGAAAAACTTCAGTTGAAGAACTTTAGCTCACAAATATTATAATTACAAATATTAACGGCGTGAGAGATCTTTCATAAAATTACACTTGTGTAATTTTTGGAAAGAAAAATACCCTGAAATGAACTTTGTCATATGTGCAGATCGGTTCGAAAAGTTTGAAGAAAGAAATTCGAGCTATTTTAAATAAAATGACGTATGAGCATTTTTGGAAATGCGCAATTTTGATGTATTTTTTCACAGAAAATAGTTGAGTTTTTAGGAATCTTTGTATGACATTATTTAAAACACATGAATTCATAAACATAATAATGGGAACAAATCGCCAGTAATGTAAATAAAAACGTGAGAGACCAGCCAAAAAAAATTAAATTTTTTGTTTTTGAAAAATCAAAATACAGCAAATTGAATTTACGTCGTCTTATAGAGTACATTTCGCACTATCCCTACCAAAAGTTTAAAGATAAAGTTTGGAGCTGTTTTTGAGAAAATCTTGATTTTGTAATATTTTATAATTGGAAATATTGTATGCAATATTGTGCGAAAACTACTAAAATTTTCAAACCAATGTAGATGTCTTTAATGAAAGAAATCACAATGGACAACAAACTGAATTTGAAGGAAAAACCTATATCTTAAATTTTGTAGTTGTAGGAAGACGCCGAAAAAAAATCATAATTTGAAATTTTAACCGTGAAAGTTGAATCTATGCCGCTCTTATAAATGTATGTTCCTCTATCGTTACAAGAAATTTAAAGAAAAAACTTGGAGCCGTTTATGATATTTTGAAATTGTCCGGAGAACTTAATGTAAAGAATACCCAACATTTGAAGAATGTTTTTTAAAAATCTCAAAGTTTAGACTCGATCGAGATATACAGGAGCTTCTTTAATTTGGAAAAAATCCTGTGCATGGTTTAGGTGCAAGAAGTGTTCACAGACCCCAGAGAGACAGTAGTTTCGATAAACACACTTTTTTGGTATCATGCGACCTCATAACATGTATTTCCATTGAAATATCGAAATAGATTTTCCGCAGCATTACATAACTTTCCCTACACTACGTGTATTACTCCGTATATACATACATATACAGGAAAGTTAAAAGTCCAATTCAAACACCCACCTTTCATGCTTATCTGCATTTACTATCGAAAATCCAGTGCGTCAAAAATATGGCCATCATCACTATCTTAACAGTTCTTTGCTACATACGGGGATAAAAATGGAATCAAAATTTGAAACCGTTTCTGAGAAAATTGTTTATAATCGTTTTAAAAGTGTCTATGTTTAATCTAAAATCACGCAAAAAATACCCATGTTTTCGAAATACTGAACATGTGAACATACTTTGAAGAACCGCTTTTGAGGAACCGCGACTTCTGCCAAATCAATTGTGGAAAAAAACAGCTGAATGGTTCAACTGCTAGCGTTTTTCACACACAGACAGACGTTTTGCCGTCATTTGATTTTTCCGTATCAAGGACCCACAAAACAGATTCTGACGACACCACGTATCAGAGGATTTTATTTCTTAATTTAGGAACCGGATTTATCCACTTATTCTTTACCAGGACCCAGCAATAAGAGTTTCTTCTACCGAAAAATTCGCCACCTTTCCCCAGAGCATTACATTATTTTCTCTTCTTACAAGGGAAAAAGTAGCTTCTTAAGAAACACTACCTTCTTAAGGGTGGGAAAGTAAAACGGAGAAAGATGATATTTCCAAAATTGTACATTATGGCCATGTTTGATGCACATCTATACTCTCCATTCTTGTAAAATGATTTTGAGCTACTTCACAATTTCAATCAAAATTCAGTTTTCAAGTTAATTTTTGTTCACTTACGATTTGATATTTCTGAAGTTTGTATCCATAAAAATAAGTAACTTATTCTAGAATAATAATATATTTTAATACCCAGCAAAAATAGGTCATATATTTTCCCTAATTCAACAGAAATAAATATATTTTAAAATATTAAATAAAAACCTGAAAGTAAAAGTAGCAAGCAACAGGTGCAAAATTTAAGTTGTTTTAATTACAGGACTAAGAATATAGTCTGCTGTTGAATTGGCTCAAGAAACTTCATAAACTGGTGAAAACAGGGAGTGGGAATGGATGTAAATTGATGGTGACAAACTCTACATGATTTCTCTGAATTGTTTTAAGAACAAAAACAAAATTTTATTGTATAAATAAAAAGGGTTTTTGTCAACATATGATTGTGGTAACATCTAATGGTAAGTTTAGTCTTCAAAGGAATTAGTATGTTACAATAAATGTCACAAAAGCCACAAAAGAAACTCTTTGTAATACATTATGGGTGTTTAATGTTGGGAGTTTGATTTATGACAGGTACATTTTTACACTTTATTTTGAATTATAATTAGTAATGAGGCAAGTAATTCAGAAGCTATGTGATGCATTAATATCCTCTAAAATTATTTCTCTACGGAGTGTGAATGTAAGAATTACAAAGAAAATTAGTTTGAAATTTTTTTCATCCAGCACTACGATGTCTACATTCCAAAAAGTACTCATCATCGTCTTCGTCATCATCTTCATCATAAAATAAGTTTAAGGGATTTAACATCATCATTTGTTGTGCTAAAATTAGCAGAAACTCCACATCATCATTGTTACTTGCATTTTTTTTTGCAGAGTTTTGACCATCTTCTGAGGTTTTGATATTTCCCTTTTGTGGAACATCTACACTGTCTTCCAAATAAAAATTCATAAACTCTTCATGTGCTTGAAAAACATAGCACCCAGGGCAAGGTGGATCATTTGCATCTTTTATTTCTTCAGAGTTATAATCCGGACTGACAGGTATTTTAGATCTGAGGGCTAAAAAATTTTGGACTTGAGGAGAACAGGACCCTTTGCAACAAGATCCTTCTTCATTCACATTTGCAACACAGTAGTTTTCCAAAACATCCTTTCTACTTGTAGTCGATAGCTTCCACTTTGAACAAATGTGATGGGGCTGAAATGAAGCAACTCGCTTCTGCCACGAATCATCGGAGGCTGGAATTTCTACAACAAAGGACAATTAAGATAAATTTGCATGTTTCAACATAAAATTCATTAAAGCTCTCATAAAACATGCATGAAGTAGATGTGAATGTGAAAGTGAATTATGAAGTTTAATAATACTTTTATTAGGTATCCATATGTCTTCATTTACAGCAAGTTGTGTGGAAATTGAGATAGGCATTTTGATATTAGACACAGTACTAATTTTCATATTTATATTGGCCATACGTTTATTAAATTATTTCTCTATGTCAAATCATTGAAGTCCAGAATCATCATTGTACAAAGAAAAGATGTCTTACAAAACTGTCATGTCTTGTTTCAGGAACATTATCCACGTCAAAATTGACCATTTTTACATTATTGATCTACTTAAATCATATTATTTTCTCTTTAGGATATTAAGATATTAAGAACTTTTTTCTACAGCGGTAACAATGCTGCTTAGTTGAAAAGATCTACAGAGGTAAGTAATGTTTGTCTTCCACTTCTTGTAAAATGAGTTATTTTAACTTATGTAAAATGAGATTCTTTCATACCTCATGACATATACCTTGTTTATCATATAACAAAAAATTGGTCTAGTGTTTGAGATACAAGTACGTAATTCTTATTAAAGTTGAGGAAACTTCAAATATTGTGTATCATCACATTCACAAAATCCATGAGTGCTCGGACTATCTATTATCTCGACATTCATTAGCTTTATTTTCAGTCGAGTCCTTACTTGCGTACACCCCACACGTACTGAAAAGTTACCTTCCATTTCAGGGGGTTGCAGTGAGAGTGTACGTGAGAGATGGTATAATATGGGCAACAGAATTTATTATAATAAAAAAATGAATCAATGTATTTATTTGTTCCAGATTTGTAAACAACATTGAAAATACTTAAAATAAAAATTCATTAAAATGCTTAAAATTGCTGTATACAAGACTTTTCCAGCAGAGAACATCACCGATCAGATCTTTACACGAATTCATAGTGACTGGAAGGCAGTTCTACTTTCATACAAATATTTTTTTAGTAATCTTCATCACATAAGAGTTTTACTCGAATATATAAAATACATTCGAGTGAGAATCGAGTTTGTGAGAATCCAGTGTTCAACTGAATAGCAGCACTGTGTTTGTCGGTGAGGGATCCTAAATGGATAAAGGGAACAAATCCCTACCAAAATCCAACGACGTGTGATAAGTCACTGATCTACAAAAATATTTGTTAGGTTGCAATCGAATTACGCAACAAGCAAAAGTACTTGATTAACCTACTTCTGCTTCACAAACATCCGCTGTCTGACAATACATGGCAAAGCTTCAGTGGTCGTAGAAGGGCAGAAGGATTACAATGTTTTGTAAGAAAAAGGATTCCAGTAATACATATTGCAAACTCGCATTTGAGATATTTTGTTTCGACATATAAATATATTAAAATGTAACAAATTTTGTGGAAATAGGTGAATTATTTAATTATACTAAAACATGTACTATAAAAACAGTTCCAATTCATTCAGAATGTCTCGTAAACTCTAAAAAGTATTTAACACATATCAATACAGATACAATACATATATATACACATATATATATATACATACATGTATTACATACATACATATAATATAGTTGATTGGGCGCTTACCTCGAGCTCCTGCCTCCACCGGCGCCTGCGCCCCGGCGCCTTCAGCCGCCGCCCGCTCCTCCTCGTCCAACCTGCGCAGCGCAAACTCCGCCACCTGCAACGACCGACCACCAACTAATTAATTAATCAATTAATTACAACAACGACAAACGTAGAAAGTGTAGAAGGAGATGAAAAGAAAACGAAAATAGAGACGGGAAGTCAGGAGCTCAAGAGACGTCAAATAAAACGCGTGAGGGTAAAAAAGCGAGGCAAGGGAGACGGGGCGAAACAGCGTGAACGAGGTTGGGGCTCGAGAATTGACTGAAATAGCAGATAACTTATAAGCAAGGAAGAGAGGGGTGGAAAAGCGAGGTAAATTGAAAAGAGCCAAGAGCCGTGAAAACTATAAGAGAGTATGCAAGAAGAAATCGAAGACACGGGAAAAAGAGCAAAAAAGTGTCCAGGGGTTCAGAGAAATGAGAGAAGGAAAAGAAATCAAATGAGGAAAGAAGAAATTGGAGAGAAGGCAGGGTAAAGGAAAGAGCGTGAGGTGATCCAGTAAAAATAAATAAAAGAAAGATAAGGGACATGTATCGAAAGGAATTGAGTGGGCTCAGAGAAGAGAGAACAAAAGAGGAAATGGATGAAGGAAGAGAGCGGGGGGCTCGAGATGGCTCAGAGAAACGAGAGCGCGAGGAAGGAAGCGATCGGATGAGGAAAGCAGAAATGGAACGTAAGGGAAGGTTAGCGCGCAGGCTCAATGCCTGACAGAAAAGAGACCATAAGAGGAAACGCATGAGGTGGCTCAGAGAAACGAGAGCGCGAGGAAGGAAGGGACCGGACGAGGAACGTAGAAATGGAGCATAAGGGAAGGATAGCGTGCAGGCTCAATGCCTGAGAGAAAAGAAAACATAAGAGGAAACGCATGAGGTGACCGAGAGAAACGAAGGGGCAGCGCACCTGTGAGTTGTGGGCAGCGACGAAGCTGCAGCCGGGGCAGGCCGAGTCGAGGCGCCGCAGGTGCTCCTTGGTGAGCGGGCCGTGCGCGTGGTTGCAGGCGCCGAGCTCCGTGCGGCGGCACCCCCAAGCGGCGCACGTGTGCGGGTGGTTCCAGTGCGCCACCAGCAGCACGCGCGGCAGCATCACCGCCAGCAGCTCCTCGCTCAGCCCTCCCGTCTCTGCGCTCGCACCTGTCGCACGCACACAAAGGAATTTGAATATACAATACACGAACGCATCACCGACAGCAGCTCCTCGCACACATACAATGAAATTGTATCACACACGTTCAATGAAATTGCACATGAACGCATCGCCGCCAGGAGTCCCTCGCCCCTATCACGCGCAGACGCGGTTTTGCGGAATTGCACACGAACGCGGTTACGGGATTGCAAATTTGGCCCTGTCATTCTGCATTTCAGTGTATACTTAGGTGCGTTTAGTGTTGTAGTTGTTTTTTTTTTTTGTATTTTTTTTTTTTTGCATTTTTATTTTTTAATACTTGTTATTGCGCATAGTCTTAAAAATGTTGGGATTTTTCAAAACCTTTTTGTGAGCCCAAGCCTTGCTCGTTTATGTTTGTCAAAGAATAACTTTCCTATTTTTATTAAATATGTTTGGTGAAACTATAATGTGAAACAATTTTCTAAAATTAATCTGAAATTATGGCAGGTTGATCACAAATTTGGAATTGTTCAAGTGACCACTCAGTTAATCAGACATGTAAAGCAGACTTTCAGAATCAGGGCCTTGGGGACCTAGCCCTTGAAGTCAGATTGGCATCTCTTTTAGTAATTGAACAAAAAATTAATATAAATTAAGTATGTAATTATTATTGTTATAATTGTATTTGATTTCCACTTATTTATAATTATCTGTATTCCAGCAATCCAAATATTGTAAAATCTAAATGAAATAAATTATTTAAAAAGTCTTTTTTTTATTTAAGGTCGCATCAACTTCTAGGTCTTTAGCGACCACTATTGCGTGTAACGGTATGGTAACTGTGCGAATGACACGATATGATGATAGGGGTGGTGGTGAAAGGACGAACACAAATACAACCATGCCCGAGGCGGGACTCGAACCCGCGATCCTTCGGTCCGAGATCGCTAGGCACTACTACCTTAGCGATCTCGGCCATCCGGACCGGCAGTGTGTTATTGTAATGACCGTTTTAATAAAAAGTCAGAACACTATTACAATTGGCTGAGATAACAGACGTTAACATTTTCCCTAAAAAATATAATTATCAAGTTTCTTGATTGGCGATTGTTCTTTTTTGATTTCTTTTGAGATGCCAGAATGCAATAATGAATTTCTCACACGTTAATTTTTAACAATAACAGTATCGTTATATGGAGATGAAGCATGAATAATATCAAATTTAATATCAGACAACGGGAATCAGAGCATTTCTCTAGCTGTCTAAAAAGTACTAGAAGCTCCATTTTCTCGTTCTCGTCGTGGATAAATAATGGAGTTTTTTTCGTTTCGCACATTTTCGTTTCATGTTTCTATAAATGTCACGTACATTCGGGCCTTAATAAATGAAAATCTTTTTAACATCTTTAAAGACAGATAATGCATGCAGTCAACGCCATATCGGACTTGTCAAATACGTAGTAGTTCACGCTACCCGATATAGGCAAATAATACTAAAACAATTTACTTTATTGATACAATATATATTCAACCTGCGCTGAATAGGTTATTAAATGTACTGTGGGTTCATCATTAGTACATCGAAATACCTCTTTAGTATTAAGACAAGTTATGCAGCTATTTGCTATTAGTTTACATTTCCTTATTAATTTTTTCAACAAATGTTCTTTAGTTTTAAACACATTTGATATACAAACACAAGTAATAGTTACCTAAAAAATCAATACCTA